AGTGAAAACTGATCAAAGAATTGGCACTGGCGTAGACAAGACTGAATCAGCTATAAAAGGGGTGGGGCTGGACTATTGTCCCTTTTTGTGGGAACAGCTGCTTAACGGGGCACTGGAGCGGGTGATTATAATATGCATACGGACTGCTCTGTTCACAGACGCCCAGGCTGCATGGACCCCAGGGGCCTCCACCTTGCGCTCTGGCCCGAGGATCTAGGAGGCTGCGGTGTCAAACCTTTTTGAACATGTCTCCTTGATGCGGAGGGTGAGGAGCGAGCTTGCGAGTCGCATTACCATTGTCCCCACACCTCGCTTCACTGTCTCCTGCACCAGACAGCCCACTTGCCCCCACCCCCCACCCCTTTGACAAAGAAAGTGCAGGGCATCAGGACTGCCAGCTCCCTGCATAGCGGAGTCATGTGGCAGTTCTTTGCCTGTAGTTTCCCCGGGGGCCAGGAGAGTTTCACTCAAGTTCTTATCAATTATAATACACCACCAGTAATGACTCCTCTTTGTGCTGAGTACTGGATGGTTTTCAGCCCCAGAGTGGAATCTAAGACAGGGCGGCCCCCAGGATGGCAGGGAAGGGGGTGAGGGATCTGGCACCTCTGGGACACCAAGCCTAGGGCCAGGGGTAGGACTCGAACCTCCAGGAGGCAGAGGTTTCTCTGGGCCCACTAGAGGTAAAGATGCCACTGTCCCCATTTCAAAAGAGGAAACCCGGTGGCTATGGAGTTGACTCCAAGCCTGAGCAGTGTAGGACGAAGTAGAGATGCCTCCACGGGGTTTCCAAAGCTGTCATCTTTACAGGGGCCGGCTGCCACCTCTTTCTCTCAAGGACCAATCTTCAGTTACCAGCCGAGCATTCTGACACAGAGCCACCCAGGCGCCTTTCAACAGAGGTGCAGGGAAAGTAACATCCTGGGGTTCTCCTGGCTGGTCAGGGGCAAGAGGACAAAGCCCTAGCTCTGTCCTGAGGCCAAGGTCTACAAGTTTCGTCCACTGTGTGTATTTTCATATGCACACGTCCAAGAGAAAAGGCTATTATGTCTCCTGGGGAAGGGACCGCCGACTGCCACCAGCCCACCCCATGACCTACTCCTGTTCTGAATGGTTTGGGGGCCACTTTTGCTGCCTCTTGGCAGCTGACAGGACCCCCAGGGCTGCACCTCTGCAGTGGTGGCGGGTAGGAGACGAGGGGGGTTGGAGGAGAGGAGCCGTTTTAAAATGAATATATGCATGTGTCTCTCCTGCTAATCACTGGAATGCGTTTTTCAGGGGAGGTGAGCAGAGGCATTAGCTGCAGGACTCCCATTAATGGTAACTTTATTTCAGTAATGAGGTGCCACGGCCTAGAACAATCACTGTGGCTAATACGGTGTAATCACAGTGATGAAATGAGCATGCTGGGAAGGGGGGAGGGGGCAGCAGGAGCAGAAGGGGCTTATGGGAACAGATGACATAGAAGCCAAGCGGTGGAGGAGAGTGGAGAAGGCAGGTGAAGCAGGCCAAGCCAGAGCCCTGTACCAACACTTGCTGTGTGCCAGGCCAGGCCATGGGGTGCTGCTTGCTCGGGCTAGGGAACATCCCCATTGTACAGGCTGGCAAAGTGAGGGTCTGGCAATTTGCCCAAATCAGTGGGAGGAAGGACTTCAGTGTGAAGTCAGGTCTCCCCTAATCGTTATACTTCATAGTCCTCCTCTCTCCCTGCCAGACCTCAGGAGCTCAAAAGGGAGCACTTGGGAGGAGAACATGGCCTTGCCAACCAGCACATGAGGATGTTCAACATCACTAGTCATTACGAAGATGCAAATCAGACCCAAGAGACGCCACTTCACGCCCACTAGGATGGCTGCGATAGAGAGAAAAAAGAAAATAACAAGTGTTGGCGAGGGTGCGGAGAGATTGGCACCTCCTCATCCATCGCTGGTGGGAGTGTAAAACGGTGCAGCTGCTGTGCAAAATAGTCTGGCAGTCCCTCCACAAGATAGGCACAGACTCGGCCGTTCTACTCCCAGGTCTGTACCCAGGAGAACTGAACACTGAGACGCAAACAGATAGGCTAACATCCGTAGCAGCGCTAGTCACAAGTGGAAGCAGCCCCAGCGTGCAGCAGATGATGGGTGTGCAAAAGCTGTTCTCTCTGTGCGAGGGAGCACTATCCAGCCATGAAAGGGAACGGCATTTTAATGACAAGCGACAACTGTGGATAAACCGTAAAATACACGGGGTGAAATAAGCCAGCTACAAAAGGACAAGTACTGCAGGAGTCGACTCTTGTGGTGTATCCAGACTTCCCTTAGGAATAAGGTCATGTGGAGTCACAGTCAAACCCCTAGCTGCCATAGAGAAAGCAATTAGAGGTTTGTGGTGGGGAAGGAGCAGGAGTTTCTGATGGAGGGATGGAAAAGTTCCAGCGCAGGTGTCCTGGCACTTGGATTGGGGTGTGAGCAGGTCTGTGGCCAGCTGTCACTTAACCTTCTACTGGGTCCTCTGACTGCTGGGTGAAGAACAGCCTGGGGACAGCAGGGAAACGAGGTAGGAGGGTGCTGCCATGGTAGGGACTTCAGCAGGAGCAGAGGCAGTGGGGTGATAAGAAGTGGTCCAATTCAGAACCTGCTGTCAGGAGAGAGCCACTAGGATTCGCAGTGGATTGGATGCAGGAGCAGACAGGCCCTGTTTTTCCATCTCAAGGCTCCTTCTTTCTAATCCATCCCTATGGACCCATGACCAAAAAAAAAAAAAAGACCCCTAAGCCTAATCCTGACCCTAACCAGAAGCAATGTGGCAATGTCAAGAAAAATTCTTGGTTGTCACAACTTGGGGCTGCTGCTGCTGCAGGAGTTGTTAGCTGATGTCAAATCAGCTCCATAACTCATGGTGATCTTGAAACACAGATGGGTTCTGTAATCATCCCCATGAATAGCTGTGGAGCAGACTGTTGTGATCCATAGGGTTTTCGTTGGCTGACATTAAAAACCAGATCACAAACCCTTTTATCCCAGGCTATCTTCGCCTGGAAGCTCCAATGAAGCCTGTTCATGATCCTAGCAACACACGATTGACAGACAGCTGTGCATGAAATGTATTAGCTGGACTTGAACCCAGGTCTCGCACACAGAAGCTGAGAATTATGCCCACAAACTACCAATGTCCCAGGGACGCTAAAGACAAAAAACAAACTCACTGCTGTGAAGTCGATGCTGACTCATAGCAACCCTACAGGGCAGGATAGAACTGTCCCTGTGAGTTTCCGAGGTTGTAACATTTTACAGGAGTAGAAAGCTCTGTCTTTTTCCCTCGGAGCGGCTGGTGGATTCAAACTGGTGACCTTGCAGTTGGCAGCCCAATGCACAACCACTACGCCACCAGGGCTCCTAACCACCCACCAAAGCACAGGGCAACCCCCACCACAAACAATTCTCTGCTTCCTCGTTCCATGCAATAGTGCCAAGGCAGAGACAGTGCCCTCACCTTCACTCCTGCGGCCTCCTCTCTGCACACGGCCTGGCCCTACCAAGTTCACAGGGATTTCATCAGAGCCTGGAGATTCCCAATCGATACCTCTCGGTGGCTAAGGTCCATATTAACTACATCTCACTTGCTCTGACAGTGACACAGATCAGATGCTGCTGCTGCCACCACATGAAACAAGGATGTTGGAGAGCAAATTCATTATCCAGCTGTTAAGAGTGACGACGCATGCACACATCTCTCCCCTCCTTCACCCTAGCGCCATTCTCCCTCCTCCCCCGCCGACTGGGCTACCTGAGAGCCAGCCCTGCTGTCTGATTGAGTAGCTGCCAGCCTTCTCCTCTCTGCAACCTTGACACAGCAGAGCAGGGCCCCTGGTGCACAAGCTAAAAATCCAAAAGGGAAATGCGGCAGCAATACACGGGTGAGTTCATGTGTTTAACGCTCCCATAACTACCAGGCTCTTTTGAAAAAACCCCACTGGCGGAGCTTTCTATCCTGTCTGCTAGGAATGGGCTGCGGGGCGGGAGGAAGCAAATGTGGCCTTGTTGATGCAGAGTCCCATAGATATTCAGTCCTATTTCCATCCAAACCAGTTGTGATCTGTAGGTTGTTTTTACAAGCATGGACCTCAAGTAACAACAATAATTTTTTTAAAAAATCACACTTCCAGGTGGCATCTTTAAGGAGAGCTAATTAGAATTCTTGGCACTTCTAGCATGAAACATTTTACAATTTTCTTCAAAGCAATTTGCTGGCATTAGCTAATTAAAACACCCAGCCCTCTGTTGAAGGCTAGTGGGAAGGGAGCACAGTCTTCCTTTCTCAGCATCTGCTGTGAGGCTAACATTTCGAATTCCTATGGCTTCCACTTGGTCAAGGTCCTCCTTCAGAGGTGGCCTTGTATTGTTCTTGGCCACATTCCTGGAAGGGACTTAGAAGATTCAACTGTTGAGTTCTAAGGTGAGGAGTGCTACGAGGGACGGGGGTTGAGCAATTAAGGCTGGTTGGTCAAACCAGGACTCGGCAACCTGCACCCCACAAGATGACTCCTGCCTGCTTCCCATCTTTATAGATAAAGTTTTATTGGAACACAGCCACGCCCATTTGAACGATGGTAAGTCAAAAAGTATTGCTGCTGAGGTTCCATTTTATACATGCGTGGGTTTAAGGCAAACACAATGTGCTTGAACACATCCCTGTAACGTGCACGTTCTCTAATGGTATGAAGAACATAGAATGAGCCTGAGGGCTTATTATGCAGCATTTCTAAGAAGATTGAAAGCTGCATTGATGGGGACCAGACCAGGAAACTTAGCTAAGGAATTTTTTCCCCATGGTGACAATATTTCTGCTCATTCTTCAAGGGCAGCAAGAGTTTACTTATAACAATTTTAATGGGAAACCGATAGTTTTTTTTGTGCCAACATGGCTCCCGATGGAACATGTGGGCAGAGTTTAGCCTGTCAATCAGATCACAGCTTGATTGGAGGGTGACAGAGATAAAGGGCTCTCTGGAGGCTGGCCTCCCTCTCTCTCTGCTTCACCTTCCTTTTGACGAGCCACGGCGATGGCAGCTAGAGCCCCGGAAATGCATACACTGCCATTGGATCTACAAGACTTTGCACCCACTGGCCTGTGATCTTCCTGCATTCTGCATCACTGCATGTGGCTCCATGAGTCTGAAGAGGGATTTATGGACTAGTATCAGACTTATGGAGTAGTACAGGACTTAAGGGCTTGATCTCCACTGGGCTGGGATGTTTGCTTGATATAAAAATACTTCTTGATATAAAGCTCTCTTACACATACATGAGTGTCCCTGGATTTGTTTCTCTAGTTGACCCAGTCTAACTCCCCATCTACCCTCATCCCTGATCTTGCCACTTCGGACTTCTTTTGTTCCCCCAAACTCAAAGGACACTGGAAAGGAACATGACTTGAGTCTCTCAAGATGCCTAAACTGTCATTTTGATGTGGCGTGAATCCAAGTGCACAGAATTCATCAAGGGAAGGATAAGATGGAAACACAGCTTTCAGAAGTATACAGTCCAGCGATTCTCAACGTATGTTTAATAAATAACAAACTGTATTAAAGGGTTGTGGAATTAGGAAGCTGTGTTTAAGATCACAACAGTTTCTGTGTTATTTTTCCCCAGCAGGAAACAAAATTTCACAGCAATAAGTTGTTCTTTTAAATCGGCCATCACAAAATAACGAGATTCATGCAAAACTGCTTTTATGGAAAAATGCACTGTGACCAGAGAGAACCTTCCTAGGCGACACCACTGGGTGCACTAATTCAAAGCAAGTTGCTTGATGTTCTCCTAGTGGGAAAAATGTGTACTACAAAAGCTCCACCCAGTGAGCTTTTTTCCATTTTGAGTGGGAGTACCCCCACATATATTCCATGCCTCTTTTGTTCTATAATGGCAAGGCTGTGTAGTTGCAACACAGGCTGTGCGGCCCTCAAAGCTGGTAATATTTAAGGGTTTGGAAGCTCCTACACTAAGCTGCCTCTTGGTATCTGACCAACCAAAACTTTACATAGCATCACTCTGCCACCCTAGCAGAGGCTTGTTGTCCAACTCTCTCCAGCTATGTATGGCCCCGACTGACATCCTCAATTCAGGATGTTAATTCAAAACACAGAAGCAGCAAGCCCACCCAGGAGAACATATTTCTCACTACAGTAATAAGTGACTATGGGCAATATTCAGCTTTGGCGTGTTTATATTATAGATGGAAGGTGCCAGAGTCCAGGAAAAAGCACCTTCACTGTATGTCATCTCAGATCTCATGGTATTGCGCGTCTTGAATCATGGTGTGGTGGTAGCTCAGGAAGCAGCCCTGGCTGGGTCTAAATCCCACATCCCCATTTACTAGCTCCTCACTCCGTCCGGCAGAAGTCATGTCACCTCTTATGGCTTGTTGCCGTGAAAGTAAAGAGGGGGATGTTATCTATTTTACTGGGCGGTTGTGTTGTGTTTTATAAAGTCTTTCAAAATCCTACTGTCAATGTTGACACCCCTTACTCCCTCCTTCGAGGGCCAGAGAGGAAAACAGACCCCTCACTTTTGAGTCTTTTCCTGTTGAACCCCTGCCCACTCTTTGTTATGTGCTCCTCTTGCAGGACTGTCTTTGTGGTTATTAATATGAGACCTTTAATCAAGGCCTCGGAGTCAGTGTCTCTTGACAGCAAAAAGGTTATTAAACAGAAAGGAATTTTCATTTATTTTGCCCAATCCTGAAAGGAACCTGGTGGGACAATCTTTAAGTGCTCAGCTGCTAACGAAATGGTCGCACCCAGCATTGGCTCTGTGAGAGAAATGACATGATGATCTGCTCCCGGGAATACTGCAGCCTAGGACACCCTGTGAGGCAGTTCAACTCCATCACACGGAGTAGCTGTGAGTCCAAAGTGATTTGGTGGCATCCAATGGCAACAAGTGGGAAAGAATCTCGAAATGAAAAAACCCAATAGACCCTTAACCCCTTTTGTTTCCTCCAGATCTCAGCATCAGCCCTCTCTAGCTAATAATTATCCAAAACCTATCTTCCTCCCCGCTTCCCACACTTTGAATTCATCGTTGGGCATCTGCTATCCCTGTGTGAGCACTGCCCACCTGATGGGGCTACTTGCAGAGCCCAGTGTTCACTCGTTGTGGATGAAGCTCATCAGGCCACCTGGATGCAAAGAGGGGGAGGTGGGCAGTGATGGCATCAAGTTCATCTGGATCCTGAGACATATATTGGAAGCACCAGTGCAATTTGTCAATTTGAGGACGGCAAGAATATACCAAGGGGCTTCAAAAGGTCCAAGGAAAACTCCCACTTTCTTTTAATTCCATTCTTCCATGAACTTTCTGAAGCATTCTTGTATCTAAATACCCCTTACCTTTTTCCTGGCCTCGCCATGCCTTTAAATCAGTGGTTCTTAACCTTCCTAATGCCACAAACCTTTAATATAGTTCCTCAATGTTGTGGTGACCCCCAACCATCGGAAATATGTGTTTTCCGATGTTAAGTAGCTTGAAGAGTCCTTATTCGCCCAGAGAGAGCTGCATCAGATAATAGAGGAAGAGTACCAGCTGGTCACCCTTGTACTAAGGCCCTCTATAGATCAGCCCCTTGTGGAACTAGTTGGTGACAGGTGGCCTGGGGATCACGAGCTAGAGGAGAAGAAAGCACCCTGCCCAGAGAAGGTGCACAGTCCCTGTATGGTGCAACTAGTCAATGTGCTTGGCTGCTAACCATAAGGTTGGGGATTCAAGTCTACATAGCAGGGATCTACTTCTAGAAAATTGGCCACTGAAAACCCTGCTGGGCTCAGTTATACTCTGACACACATGGAGTTGTCATGAGTCATGATCAAAGTGGCTGTTAGAGGTAGTATTACAGATATGCTCAAATGGTGTGGATCCCACAGCTCACAAAGTCCTGAGACAGGATCTGGTGATGTGGGGCAGAATGGGTCCGAGCCGTTAGGTAATTCAGAGAGATAACAATCAAGGCAGCCATAGGCTGCTATAACTGTGAGGACTTTAGTGTAGTCCAAACCCCTTATGGGTTCAACAGAAAGCCCTTTGGCCAGGGCAAGATATGACAAAATAACAATTTATAAACTATCAAGGGCTCATGAGGGAGGGGGAAGCAGGGAGGGAGGGGAAAAATGAGGACCTAATGCCGGGGGTTTAAGTGGAGAGAAAATGTTTTGAGAATGATGAGGACAATGAATGTACAAATGTGCTCTACACAATTGATGTGTGCATGGATTGTGATAAGAGTCGTATGAGCCCCTGATAAAATGATTTTTAAAAAAAAGAAAAAAAAGAAAGCCCTTTGGCCAGCATGCAGGTCACAGACTCATAACACCTTAGCTTGGAAGAGCTGGTAAAGATCTGTTGAACATAGTGCGTGAAAAGAAATTGTATGTTTATTATCTATTTCATCCCAAGAAAGCCTGGAAGAAGGGGCGTTTTACACACAGGGAAACTAAGACTCCGAGTGAGGAATTATTAGTGTAAAGTTATGCTACTCCTAAGGGGCAGAGCTGGGGCTTAGGTCCAGGTCTGTCTGGATGAGCTCCACAGCCTCCAGAGGGTCCCAATTAAAACCCACCACACACATATTACCTACTGCTGAGAAATCGATTCTAATTCATAGCAGCCCTGTAGGTCAAAGTCAAACTGCTCCATAGGGTTTCCAAGGCTGTTAATGTTTCCAGAAGTAAACTGCCACACCTCTCTCCTGCAAATGCAGCTTGACTGGTGGGCTTGAACCACCAACCTTTCATTTAGCAGAGAGCTTAACTGCTGTGCTACACCGCCACGGCACCTTAAAACACACCTGCAGCTCTGTACAAAGCTTTAGTGTATATTTAAAGTTTCATTGAGCTATACCAGAAATTCATATCCATTGGAACCATTCGATGGTTTTCTAGTCTATTCACAAAGTTGTAGAGGCAGCATCACTGCTACCTGAGAACCTTTTCATCTGAATTAAAGGAAGCCCTGTACCTTATGGCAGCCACTCTCTCATCTGCCCAACCACCGAGCTCTAGGCAACTACTGGTCTACTTTCTCTCTCTGCAAGTTTGCCTATTCTGGACATTTCTTATAAATGGAACCAGAATACATGGACTTTGTGTCTGGCTTTTTTTTTTTTTTTCACTTAGTATAATGTTTGCAAGGTTCATCCATGTAACAGACCAATTCAGCCCTGCATTACTTTATACTGACAAATGACACGTCATTGTAGGGATAAGCCAGTTTGTTGGCCCCTATCTACGGATGGCTATTTAGATTCGTTTCACTTCTTGGCAATTACAGTGGAACCTGTGGGAGCTGGAACTCAATGGGGCTGCCTTTTCTTCCTGCATCTCGCAGATTTCCCATTTTCGACAAGGTGCAGTCCTACCCCTTTTAGCTGTCTTCTGAGTATGATATGTGAGCTTTCCTTTGTTGACCAGTTTGCACCTTACAGGGACTTTGCAGGTTTTACTGCATTTCTGCAAATATGCATGGACAAGGTTTCTGCCGCCTTTTTAGAAGTAGCATTCTATCCTTTTCACTAAAGATCATGCTCTCACTGAACAGCAAGTAAATAGAAGAAATGGAGAGAGAGAGAGGCTGTTGGGAGTGTGAGAAAGAAAACTGCATTCAGAGGCAGGACACAAGTTATTCGTTATTTTTCATTCATTCCATAAATACAAATAAAATACTTCTTGAGTGCACAAGGTACTCAGGCACAAATTATTTCACTCTTTCTATCATTCATTTAAAAAAAGTCGCTGTCCATGATCTTGCAGAAGCAGTCGAAGGTCAGGTCTTATAGTTTTCCAGGGCCACATGTGCTCAACAGCCAAGTGGGGGAACCAGGCACACCTGGGAGGGCTGGGAGAAGCAGGCATAACAACACACACAAAACAACTCAGGGGCCATCAGGGACTCAACTATAATGATAGTAGCACACACTCACTATACACAATTAGAATCTGTATTGTCCTTGTATTAGATAAGGCACCGCTCCCTACTCAGACAGTGGTGGCACTGGAATTTGTGTCAGCCTGTGTGCTAACCCATGGTGTCACCCACCTGTGGGCAAGGCCTGCCAAAGAACCCCTCCTTCTGTGGGCAGGGCAGCCGGGCCCAACACTGCTCCAAGAATCTCTTCCCCTCTCCCACTAAACCAAGGCAGGGGTCCTCCTCTCCAGCCAGGGGTGGCAAGTTACTACAAGTGTCCCAACCCTCATATTACTCTGTTGGCAGCCCTTCCCCCAACACTAGCACAACCTTGCTGCTACCCACTCCACAGACCCTGGGGTCATAAAGGTGTCACATCCTATAACAGTGGCAGGGCACAGTCTACACCCCTCACATTCTCCTAGTGATCCCATTGTCTGCCATGATATGCTGTTCAAATACCAAGAGTCAGACATTTCCTTGCTTTATAAAAACTATTAGACTGAAATAGTGGCTTACTATTTCAATACTAGCTGCAAAGGTGGGATACAACAAAAGTAAACCAGAATGACAAGAATTAGCGGATGGAACTTGACCATCTGCTTTTGACACGTGAAAGGTCGGTAGTCTTGAGATTCCTTGTCTTGCACTTCCTGGACTTCCAGCAGATGGCAACAAAGTTCTGCGTGGTGGCATTGGTGCACCCACAGCCAGGAAAATGACTAGACAAAAGGGTGCCTGAAGGTGTGCTTCTTGGGAGATGGGGGCGATCTTGTCAGTTACTCGGAGATGTTGGAATACAGATAAACACATAGTTGGAATACAGTGGAACAAGGATGTATTTACAGCTACAGGGGTCTGATAAAACTTGCAAATGGTTTGAGCTCTACACACAGTTTCCAAAGCAAAGACTAGGGGCGTGAATCATTTAAAACAAAGAACTTCATGCAAATCAGAATCAGGCAATTAGTCTTTTTTCTAGGGCACATCCTATCATCCATTAAGAATCAAATGGTTCAAAGTCTTAAATGAAATCCCAGAGCTATAATAAGATCATCAATGAGATAATGGCAACAAACTTAAGGATTCTACTTCAGGGCACAGGCATACCATCAAATATAATGAAGGAAGCACGCACATAGAAGTCAAAATAGATGACTGGGACCTACTCTCAAATAAGACACTTACGTGCATCAAAAGACTTCATCAAAGGAGTAAAAAGAGAACCCACAGACTAAGAAAAAAAGCCTTAGCAACATCACCATGGTCAAGGGACTAATCTCTAAATCTAAAGAATTCTTCAACACCTTAATAAGGGGAGATGGGAAATTCAATTAAAAAGTGGGCAACGGACATGAACAGTTCATGACACTGAATTAGCTAACAAACACACAAAAAAACACTCCCAGTCACTCGCCATCTGGAAAACGCAAATCAAAACAAAGATGAGTGTCACTTTACACCAACAATGATAAGGCCAATCAATGTAGAAAGAACAGCAAATGCTCAGGCAGGTAGAGAGATTGGAACTCTCATATGCTGCCAGTGGGTCTGTAAATACATATAACCATTATAGAAAGCAATATGGTGCTACCTAAAACAACTGGGAACAGAAAGCCCACACAACCCAGCAATACCTCGGCTGGGTCAGACACATAATACCGAAGAGACATATGCACTCCTGTGTTCATTGCAAAACAGCCCCAAAGCCCACCAGTAGAAGAACAGATAAAGAAGCTCTGGTACATATACACAAAGGAATACTATGCATTGCATTAAAAAAAAGGATGAAAGCGCGAAGCACCTCATGGCATCAATGGGCCTGGAGAATGTTATGCCGAGTGAAGTCAGTCAATCACAAAAGGACAAACATGGTATGAGACCACCACTCTAAGGATAAAAGAAGACAAAGACTGGCATACCAAAGGCAAGGGTGGGAAGATGAACCAATGGACCAGAAGGCTGAGAGGTATGGACTTGGGAGTAAACTAAACAGATTCAGAAGAGGGAAAAGAGATCTCAGGGGTTGGGGCAGAGCATGGGGTGGAAGTTGGTGAGTAGTGTGAATTGTTGAAGAGCTGATAGCCTACAATGTAACCCCCCGCCCCCAAATCCATTTTTAAAAAAAGAAATCGAATGATACTAAATATGACACCAAAAGCATAAGCAACAAAAGAGAAACTAGATTATTTGGATTTCATCAAAATTATAAACTTTGAGGTTTCAAAAAAATATCACTAAGAAAGTGAATAGACAACCCAGTGTGGGGGAAAAATACTTCCAAATAATATGTCTAATGACTATTTAAAGAACAACAACAATCAGACAAATAGCCCACTTTAAAAATAGACAAAGGATGGATGGATATTTCTCTAAAGAAAATAGGCAAATAGCCAAAAAGCACATGAAAAGATGCTCAGCATCATTAATCATTAGAGAAATGCTAATCAAAATCACAATGAGCTACTACTTCGTACCCATTAGGATGGTTATAATTTTTTAAAAAAAGATAGCTAATAATAAGTGCTGGCGAGGATATGGAGACACTGGAGCCATGAGACATTGCTGCTGGGAATATAAATGGTACAGCAGCTTTGGAAAGTGCACCAGTGGTTCCTCAAAAACTTAATCATAGAGATACCATTTTACCTAAAATTCCATTCCTAGGTATCGATCCAAGGGAATTAAAAACATATGTCCATTTGCTAAGGCTTAGGAGCCCTGATGGCACAGTGGTTACCTGTTGGGCTGCTAACCCCAAGGTCAGCAGTTCAAAACCAACAGTTGCTCTGTGGGATAAAGACAAGACTTTCTACTCCCATGGAGTTACAGCCTCAGAAACTCACAAGGGCAGTTTTACTCTGTTCTATAGAGTCACCATGAGTCAGCATAGACTTGGTAGCGGTGAGTTTGGTATTTATTATTGCCCGAAGAACCTGGTGGTGCAGTGGATTGTAATTGGGCTGCTAATCTGAAGGCCAGCAGTTTAATTCTACCAGTTGCTCCATGGGAAAAAAATAAGGCTTTCTGCTCCTATAAAGACTTGGAGCATCAGAAATCCCAGGGGCAGTTAGAAATCTTAAAGAAGTCTTATAAATCAACAATATTCAGACAACTCCATTTAAAAACAGGCAGGATGAATATATGTTTCTCTAAGGAACATAGGCAAATGTCCTATAGGCTCATGAATCAGCGTTAACTTGATGGAAGTTGAGTTTGGATAATTGCCTGGTTTAACTTGAATCAGAGGTGTGTGTGTGTGTATAAATTATATATATATATATATAATTTAAATCTATATATATTATATAAGTATAATTTAAATATATATATAAATGATCTTTGCTGGACAGTCTCCTTCTT